TTTATGATTTCAAAGATCTTAAAGAAGATTGATCTTTCATTATCGATCAAAGGATATCCTTTGGAGAGAAAGAAAATCACATGAATTTATTTTTTCTATTTCTTCAAAAGCTATTCAGGCAATGTTTCATCGTATAAAAGTGAATGCAGCGTTTAACAAGATTTGACGATCGACATTAGTGATAAAATAAACAAAATAATCCACAGATTTTATTCAAGGATGAATGAGCAAATGATGACGTAAATAGACCTTTCATGCTATCTTTTATTGTAAATGAACCCATCATGATGATTATATGATTTATTAGTTAACTCAATTAAAAGTTAATATATTTAAAGAAAATAGTAATATTTTATATTATTATTTAGAGATATGATTTTTTTTATAATGTCAATCAATTAGAATGTATTCTAACTGTAGATATTATTTTTATATTAATTATTATAAAAATTAATAATTTTTTAAATTAATATCATAATTCATAATTAAATGTCTTTAAACTTTGTATTTAAATTAATTTTTTAAAATTAGTTTTGATACAAAAATAATATAATTTTTACAGTGTCAACAAATTAAAATATACTATAAATATAATTTTTATATTAATCATTACAAAAATTAATGATTCTTATTAATGTAATATGACAAATTGACAATTCATGATTGAACGATAGTATAAAATAAATTACATTGTCAATGTATTTAAAAAATTTATATGAAAAATATTTCAAAAACTAAAAGTATTTTAACAATAATAGTACATTAATTTAAATTTATGAAGCTTCTCATCACTAACACACTTTTATAGACTTACAGGTTATTTTATTCCTTATTACAAAACTTTGATATATTACATCAAATTTTCAATTTGATGAATAAATTTATACAATGTGCAATTTTAACTTAGTTTTTTTAAATATAATTAAAATATTTTAAAAATATTTCAACAATTTTTTGTAAATGAAAAAGAATTTACAAATACACATAAAATACAATTATTGAAATTGATTGATATCTTTTGGTTGTAACATTTGTATACATATTTTTATATTTATATTTATATAGACAATTTTTTTTTTATAACCTGATCTTGTTTCATATGGAATAAATTCCCTTTATTAACTGCCTTTTTAATTTTATACCTAATTTTAATCCAATCTTAATTATCTTGATATTTTTAAAACAAGAATTTTAAAATTATAACACACTTAAATCATGCATATACATATTCAGATTAATATTTTAAAAATTTGATGATCATTAATAAAGTTAATATTATTATGCATATGAAAGTGACATTAACACTTTATTAGTGCATTTTAGTGAAGAATAATTTCTTGGGTACCTTCCTTGCATGCCTAGTGTGCCACTAGATGGCTTTTATATACATATAAAGGTACTTCCACAATCCTTATCAAAAGTTAATTTGTCCAATGAAAACTGAGAGGAACTTGGCTTTTTATTGCCGTCCTCAGTTTGCAATTGCAAAACATTGGGTGGGAAAGGTCCAAAAATAAAACCATGTTCTATTGTTCTTTCTTTGTGTACTAAGTGCCTTTCAAGAACTGCACATTTATGCTCATTAGCCACCATCACAATTCAGAGACGACAAGGTTAATAGGGATTGGTGATATACTACTACTATCTTTGTGTTACCTTTTGTTCTGATTTCTGGGTCACACACAAAAACACATACATATACGCGTTTCTTTGGTTGTTAGCTAGTGTTCATGTGAATGCATATATGAATGGTTTGTATGATAGTATATAATATAATACATATAACTAATTATGTAGTAGCATTTTAATTCTTGATCTAGTCATTGAGAAATGAGGGTGGGATGGAAATGCTCATTCTGTGGAAATTTGGGTCACAATTTGAGGACTTGTAACAGTCAAAGAAGGCGACTAAAACTCTTTGGAGAGCAACTTGACCTTTGTTCTTCTTCATCATCAGCATCCTTTTCTTCTTCTGCTTCACCAACATGCCTTGACATGAAAAGGAGTTTCAGCATGCATGACTACTTGCTATCTTCAGAGGCCTACATGCTTGGAGATGAAAATTCAGATAAAACATCTGAATTTGGTGGTGGCTGCCTCACGTATCAAGAACCCATGAAAGAAAAAAAGGTTATCTCGCAACTTTAACTCATCTATTATGGTGTTTGATTCTAATCAATTTTGGGTTCCTTCTAATTGAAGAGAAAGACTTTACACTTGACTATACATTACATTTGCTAAAAGTTACAAACATTTTAAAAAAATTAATTAACATGTTCATGATATTATATGTAATTTTTTTCTCGCTTGTTTTTTTACGATATTTTTTTGTATATATGTATCTTAAGAATATATTTTAAAATAAAAGAGGATAATATTTTTTTTTTCCATTTTAATGTTTGGGAAAGTTGTAGTCTTTTTTTTCTTACAATCACACATTAAGCAGAAGAGAAAAAAATTAAGAGACATGGGATATCTCATGTCTCTTAACTTAATCCCATGTCTCTTAACTTTTTTCTCTTGTTGGATGGAGCAACTGTCAGAAGGAAAAATCTTCAGCCCTAAAATATATAGGAAAGAAACGAGGTTTTAATATATTTTGTGACAGGAATGTTGATTTTTTTTCCATGATGCCTTTTTTTTTGTATGGATCTGTAAATTACATTTATATAATTATAATTACATGTTTTATATGACAAAGAAAAAAGAAAAGAAAAGGCTGATCATTAAGCTTAACTAATGAATGAATGTCTAGTAATTGAGCAAAGATTTAGGAATAGATGATTTGGAATGTTAATTTTGAGTTCTATTAATACAATTATTTTATTTGTTGATGATGAAGGATAAGGTGTAGCATGGAGTGAGGAAGAGCACAGAAAATTTGTAGAAGGAATAGAGAAGCTAGGAAAGGGTGATTGGAGAGGGATATCTAAAAGTTATGGGAGAAGAAGAACACCAACCCAAGTTGCAAGACATGCACAAAATTTTTTTTCTTCGTCAAAATAGTGTCAATAATAGAAAGCGCCGTCGTAGCCTCTTCGACGTGAGTAAATTAATTGTGCTTTTCCACACTCCATTCATACGCAGTTGCTTGCTTCAGAAACGCTAACAACATCTCGTTGAATATATTTTATAATTTCTATTTTTTTAAATGTTAAAATAATTTTTAATTAGGATGACTGTTTTAATTTTTTAAAAGATATTAATTATAAAAAATTTATTTAAAAGTGCATGTTGTTAATATTTTTTCTTATATAATCTTTATTTTTTGACCTGAAATTATTCATAGATTTATATAATATTTTATCATTCTTTCAAATTTATTTATTTTTGTTATTTTTATTATATTATATTACATGTTACATAATTTTATAATATTTTATTATTTCTTTTACACTTTTTTCATATTTTTCTTTTTCCTACATTATATATTACATGTTACATCTCTTCCCTTCTCTCTTTTTTCTAATTTCTATTTTACAAAAGGTGCGTGCATGCGCGCACGTGTGAAAAAGTGTATAATGAATACAATTTTTTAGCCTTGTTAGTTAAACAATAAATATATATTGTTTATTAAAAAATTATAATATATATATATATATATATATATATATCACAGTGGGAGTATATTAATAATATTTTCTTATTTTTTTTTAATTTTCACATTTTTGTGAGATTTTTTTTTTATATTCAAGACTTGTAATCTTTAATATCATTTAATTATGACATAACTAATTAATTAAGAAGCTTTCTTGTGTCAAGTTTTTTTATAACAATTTAAAACTAAATATCTATAACAATTTCTGATATATTCTCTCCGGTGGGAAGAGATGAAACGAACTTTGAACCGTATAATATTTGTTTTGACGCAAGTGGTCAATGTGGGACTATTCTTTCTCAGTGATCATTCAGTGAAATGGCCATCCTCTTTAACAAATTTGCATTGATGAAAGTGCAGACCCAGATCCAGAACTCAAACTTGAGGTTCCCATTCTAAAAGAGCCATGCGTGTCAGAACTTAATTCACTCTAATTTCACATTGTGCCTTCGAAGAAATGTTCTTCTTGGAAAGAACTGTAAGTTTATTGTGATTATTGAAAGACTTGAAAAGTGTAGGAAAACGTTCTTTTGACACCTCCATGAGACACACCGTATGGGGTTATGGGAGGGGAGGGGGATTATATAAATAAGTATAAATAAAAAAAATATGGTATAAATATTTTAAATAAATGTTCAAATAACGTAGCTAGAAAGAGTTAAGAGTGTATTAATTGAAATGTGAGTGAAGTGAGGATAATTGTGATTAAAGTGTTATAACCTTTTTAGATTGTGAGAAAAGTATTATAATTGTTTAGATGTAAGATGAGTGTTAAACTAGTAAATGTTACAATTCTCTTCATCAGTAGGAGAGAATAATAATCCCATTGGAGACACTGTGTCACTTCCAGCACCTGCCCGCCCATTTGTCAATTTTAAATCCCGAAACGGTATTTGAAAGCCCACACCCGGGACGCCGGGAGTCACTGTAGGGACAGTGGTGTTACTTGTTTTTCAAGTTTTATATAACTTTGATTTAGACGTTGTTGGGGTTCTTATACAAAATTCATTTTTTATAAAAAAAATGTACACAAGTTTTTAATTTTTTAAAAAAACATTTTATACTGTTATTAATATTTGTATAACGTTATTATTTCAGATTTAAATAATTTTTTAATCTTTACACATAACATATTGTTTTATTTTAGTCTTTATAAAAAAATTAAACTAGATCACAATAAAATAATACATTACATATAGAAATAATAAAAATTGTGTTATGAGTAGGAATCAAATAAAGAGTTATCAGCTAAAAACATTGCAAACAAAAAAATGGCGTTAATTATATATCAACAAAATGACAAGAGAAGGAAGCAGCTCAATCCGCATACCTCCATAACCCATAGAAAAGTGATACGACATTATAATTTATACACACTTAAAACGTATCAACTGATCTGTCCAAAACATGCAAATTGAATTAGATATACAAAGCCCAGCCACACAACGGATGGCACGGATGCTAAAAGGAAAATTTTGATACATTTAAAATTAAGCATCCAGAAATAAGGCCAATGACTGTTCAAAATACATAGCAGAAACCATATCATACATTTATGAGCGTCCCCAGCCAAAAAGAAGAAAAAACAAATGAATGTAGAGTTCTGGAGAGAATATCTTCAACATAGCTTCGTATGTAGGTCTTGTCTGTTTTCTTTCACTCTTTTATCCTTCCTCTCTCTTGTTCCCATTTTTGGGGTTAAGATGAGTTGCCTTGGTTAATATTTGGTCAGTTTGGTTGGAACTATCCATCATGGAATAGGTTTGGATGATTCAAGAAAATTTTGTCAGATCAAATTCTTTTCAATAACACTTGGAAAACCCTGTCAAATCTAACGTCATGCAAAAATGGAGCTCCCTTTGTGCAGTGATTAAGAATCATGAGATTCTTGGTCCATCAAAATTATCCGCTGCTTACCACTCTCTGAGCGGAGATTATCTAGCTTGTATCCAATCTACGTTCAGAAGACAAAGACAAAAGATCTTCAGAATAAAGAAATAAAAGATTAGGGCAAAGAAATCACGCGTACACACTGACTTTCAGACATAAGAGAAGTCATACAATTCTCAGAAAGACAGGTGATTACCTCCACTGAACTGTCAGGAGAGAACCACCTCAGTAGCACACCAAGATGCACAACCGCAGGAATTAGCTTGAAAAGTAGAGGAGTTGTTACCTGCAGAAATGGGCTCAGAAATTATAAATGGAATTATTTATTACTACATAATGATAGTCGTATTACTGACTTCATATCATGGAAACTGATTGCAGCTTATGACCTTGAATTTCATGTTATTCACAGATACCAAGTGAACTTCTTGTTTAAGTAACCAAGTGCAGCTTAGAAGAATTTATCCCACAACAAAGTTTGCCTCGCATTCATTTTTTTGTTATCAAAAATAATTGAAAGATGGACGTTTTTATTGGGCTCTAGCCATTTCTATGCACTGTCTCAAGGTTATCAGCTAAATGTGTGCATTATCAAGATCATTGCATTTCAAGATCTGTATCCCCTAAAACTATCCCTGCAACTTGAATAACCACAAGGATTTTACATATCCGCTACCTGGACTGTCATATCATCCATCATATGGGAGCACGGGACCATAAAAAATAGTCACAAAAGCTAATTTAAGGATTGTTGTCCCCCAACTTATCTTTCAGCAAAAAGAAAGAGAAATGTTAACATCCTACTGTGCCAAAAATAAATGATGAAGGTTAAGGCCGGAATCTCCATTCAGAATAAAGTTCAGATAGATTTGATCCTTGAACCTCCAACATGGATCAAAGACAAAATAAAGCTAGGAAGACCGTGGATCAGTTATGGAACTTAGTAACTGTTAATTCAGTAAAATGAAAAATTTTCATACCAGACTAAGAGCTGTGGTCCCAAGAAGCAGCAAATATAGTTTACCCTGAAATTAATCAAATATTAGAATTCATAATGCATAAACCTTTCAAATTTAAGCTTCAACTTTCAAGTTATATCACCGAGTAGGAGTGAAAGTCAGTTGAGCTGAGTTGAACCGAACTAGGCCTAGTTCAAGCTTCGCTCAATATGAAATTGAGCCTACTTTCTTAGTTCACCTAAAAGCTCACAAACTACTTTAGTTTAATGAGTCAATATCAAGCTTTGTACTAAATATTAATTGAATATTTTAAGCTCAAATTGGTAACTTTATGCAATCTTTTTGTCCATATATTTAATTATAAAACAATTGTCAAACCAGAGATAAAATTAAATGGTAATATTTATTAAATTAAAGTATAATAATAACTTTTGATATTATTTAAAATGTATTTTTATATTTTATATACCAGGTCAGCTGTTGAGCTGATGAGTCGGACATGTAAAAGCTTAGGCTAGGTTTGATTACCAAAATTTTCAACTCATTGAATTGTCAATGAACCAAGCTACATGCAGGCTCACCAGTTAGTTAGCTTGGCCCCCCTCTAGTTCTAGCCCTTTCACCAAGTCTCAGTTCAATCAATTTAGCAATGACATTGTCATTTTTATTTTCATGGTCAACTTTAGAAACTTGATCACTTAATCACCATTGCTAGATAAATCTTTTCTGTCACTAACCTCAACTAGATGAAGATTAGAAGCACGACTGAGAAGAACAAAAGCAAATTCTCCTATCTGTGCCATCGACATTCCAACCTATACAAGCATGATTCAAGGTTCCTCAATCACTAAGATGGGGGAAAAACAGCATCATAACCCACATTATGAATAAAGCTTACAAGTATTGAAGTCTTGTGATTGTAACCAAATCCTTTCACAACAGAAGCAATTATGATTGTTTTAATAACGATCACCAAAATTACGGATGCTACCAAAATATCAACATGGTTCCAGAGAAAATGAACATGAATCAGCATTCCGATGCTGGCAAGGAAAAGAGCAGCAAAAAGATTGCGAATAGGTTCAATCTGCAAAATAAATGAATAAGAGGGGTTAAATTTCTTCCATAAACCTATCTTACCATCAAGTTATTCCAGACTTCCAGTTAAGAGTTTAGGTTCATGAAATAGTCACAAAATTTGTCAATGTTCATTTGACAAATGGGAAAATCTCCAGTCAATAAAGGAAAAAAAATCAATTGCCATATATGAAGAATTCAGATCAAAAGACCAAGGAATGTGCTTGGATCTCATTTAAAAATTGTCCACCACATGCTGAAAAAATAATAATAAAATTGCAAACTAATACTAAAAGAAACCAATATAGCATTTTCACCCATTACCTTGTACTCCTTTGCGAGGAGGATGATAAGAGTACACAATCTAATAATACAAATATTTTGAATCTGCACACGTTTGAATACATAGAGCTACATTTATTGAAATAAATTGGACCTAAATCCCAAAAGCTAGCTAAAGGGGGAAGAATTGCTCAAGTCCTTAGAAGCACTACTTTAGCCATATATGATATATCTAACGAGACATCTTAACACTCCCCTCACACCTGAAACTGGATATTTGGAGTGTGAAGTTTGTGAGACTTAGCCTAACATTACAACTGAATAGGATTTTGATACCATATTTGAAATAAATCAGACCTAAGTAAACCCCGAAACTAGATTGGGAAAGGGGGGAGGGGGGGGGAGGATTGTCCAGGTCTTATAAGAATTATTTTAGCCATATTTCTTGGTGATATAGGACATCTTAACAACATCAATGCATGTCAACTGTCAGTTGATATTCATGTCTATGCATTCACAAAAATATCTGCACAATTTTTGTAGTCTTACTTGCTCTAGTGTATGTTGAGCCAGATCAGTGGTTGCAATCATCACTCCAGCAGCAAAGGAACCTAGTTCTAGACTTAGTCCCAGCTTATCACTACACTGCAAATATAAAACCAATCAGATACAAAAGATTGTGCTAAACCAGTAAGGTAATCAAGCAACAGAACAAGCATATATTTTATGAAGACAATTACAGATATCTAGATGCATAACAAATGATAAAGGAGAAGTACTGGAGGCCTTTATGCATAAAAGCAAGAAAAAACAAGTCTCAAAACACAATGACTATTATGTGTAATCAAAGATTCCTTTTAAAAAGTTTCCTTTTAGTAAATCTGATTCCTTTTAACCATTTCAAAAGTTTCTAAGTGAATTTATTTTCTAAATAATCAAAGATTCCTTTTAGTAAATCTGATTCCAAGGATCCAGCAAGCCAGTATAGATACTTTCTGATGGGTTCAAAATAATAAAGATTTGTCATTGTAATTAAGTATGTAGATATTAAGGAGGTAGAGCATACGGATATTTTCAAATAATTAACATCAAATGATGGGCAAAAAGTGCTAATTTAGTGCTCATTATCATACCCTGTGAAAACATAATGAAGTACAGCAAATAATCAAGTATCTTTATGCATTTTTTTGCATATAAAAAACAAATAAAAAACAAAGCATTTCACAGAGAGTAATTTAGGCAGGTGATTATTAGGAAGGGAACAAACCCAGGCTACTAGCAAGCAGAATGCAACTGACGCCAATTGATAGAGTTCATTTGTCTGCACAAACAAGGTGATTAACATTTAACAGTCAGAAAAATGTATACCCATAAGAAGGAAATAGCTAAAGAACCAAATTAAAAATTTCCAACTTAATTTCACCATCCCTATCTTTATTGTTGAGAAGTAAACAAGTAAGCACTTCCACAGATAAGATTTTGTCATTAAAGTGGGACAACAAGATGAACCTGTGATGATAGGCTTATCATCAGTTTAAGCAACCACGGAAGGCAAGTGCGAGACAATATTGACAGAACAGAGAGGAATGCAATCAATGTCACCAACCTGGATTAGGAAAGAACGATGATGTTATGTCAGATAAAGCTATAGGGTACACATTAAGTAAAATCTTTCATTGACTGCCAACGGACAGAGTGCATTTGAATATATCAGCCCAGTGCTGAGCTCAAAAAACTGACTAAAACACCATTCAGTCATTAGAATTGAGTCAAACCAATTTTTCTATTGAAAAAAATGCCCAAAAGTAAAGCTCACTGAATGCTTATCAAGGAGTGTTCAGTGACACTGAGTGTTAGGATTCCAGTTCAAGGTATTGGACTTGAGTCCCACATTGGAAGTATGGGATTTAAGTGCAGGGTGACTTTGGACTCTCCAACTACAACAATTGTGGTATGGTTTTTCAAAAGTTCTTATCAATTGGTATCAAAACCTTATACTAGGTCTTCCAGCTGCAAATGAGTTGCACAAGTGGTGATGCCAGCATTACGGTGGTCGTTCAAGACTAGTTAAAAGCAACGTTGTTAAGATCGAAATTCTACCTATGATCGAAAGGAAAGTAAAAATTGAATAAGATAGATCATAAGATCCTACTAAATATGTAAAACTATACTCAAACATATATATAAACATAAAAAATAACAGAGATAAAAAATTAATATCTAAATCACATAATTTAATTAAACATAAACTTAAAAGTCCTAGATTTAATATTCAATAAAAAACATAATTAGTCAAACTAGCCATGGAGAAACAAGAGAACACAAAATACAATACAAATGGAACATTTTTTTTTAAATTAAAAATATCAACAAGAAAAGTTATCCAACTTTAATTGTACGGAAAGTACTTTGCAATAAATAATACTGAAGTATTAGCTGTAGTTAATAGTGTTTGGATTTATAGTTGGATAGATGAAACTTAGGCGCTTATAATGTTTAATAGATTTTCTATAAAATTTGATATTCAATTTTTAAAAAATTGTTAAAAAATTATTTTATACCATTTTACATAACAATAAGTTAATAATGTTTTATTACAATATTTTATTTTAATAAATAATATATTATTAATAAAGTTGAAAATTAATTTTAGGTAGTAACACAATTAAAATGTTTATTTAAATTAACCTCACTCATAGATTTATATTGAAAAGTGTAATTTTATCAAGAGATATAAAAATTCATTTCTAGTGCCAAACACGAACCAAAACTGAAACTGCAGCTAGCTCACGAAGTATCCAGAGAACAGAAAACACCCAGGAAATGCAAACCACCAGATGAAACAGGCGAACAACAGCTCATGAAGCATCAAAACAGAAAACGCAAACCACTCATGTCCAGGGAATGCGAACACCACGCCCAGAGAACACAGACCACCCACAAAGAAGCACACCTAGAGATGTGAACCACCCACGCACAAGCACAAACACGAAGAAGATGCAGTCACGCAGGAAGTGGTCACCGCATGCAATATGGTTCCAACAGTATAAGCAGGTCAAAAATTAATGGGAAACGGGTTACTTTATAAACGGGTCATTATATCTGACCCGAACATCGGGATCAAATCAGATCCTAGATCCCACGATCTTACAGGAAAAGATCACAATCCCGAGCGATCTTGGCTGACTCCAATCCTGTTTGTGATCCAGATCGTGGAGGCTGAGCAAAATCGTGCAATCTCGCAATTAAGATTGCAATCTTGACAACATTGGTTAAAAGGGCTAGTACATAGTTGACCCGCTCAAGTGTCAGGGCTGTAACGTGTGGTGGGATGTTAGGATCCCAATTGCAAGGTATGAGGCTTGAGTGTCACATGAGAAGTATGAGATTCTAGTGTGGGGTTTATTAGACTTTGGGCTTTCCAATTCCGATGGTTAACTATTTTTTATATGGTTCTCCTCAGGTTCTTATCACTGAGTTAGGAAGCCTACAGTTACAAAGGTGTATTATAGGAGAGACAGAAGAGAAGAGGATCAAGACCGAATATTAGTTATGTTGACCGTGTTTGGGAAAATAACCAACTGCTGATGTGGACACATGCAATGAGAGGAGTAAGGGCAGAATTAGTTAGTAGGGAAGGAAAAGAGAGTGAGGAGGGACCAGAATTGAGGTATGAAAGGAGTGAACAAGGGAAATGGGTGGGAGAGACCAGGCATTCTTGAATAGCAAAGGCTATCTTGTTCACTGCATTTTCTCATTTCATAATAGTAAACCATTTTATCAATATAATGTCAGTGTGTTGATATCATACAGTTTATATTCATCTTTATGTATGTGTCTGATTCAGTTCCAGTAATCCTAGCTATTATAATATTAATAATGTATAAGGACCTTCAAGTCCTTTACTACTTTTAAAAATGACAACTTAGGTTCCATTTTCTCGCTTTAGATGATGGATTGTAACTTTAGCCTCTATTGACTATTACTTTATTGTTTAACAGTTGCAGCAATAAATACTTTCCTCTATCCTTCTCAAGAACATCAACTTGTGGTCTGTTTGGTTTGAGTGAAGTTCAACATATTATTTCACCTTTTTCCATTTTTTTTTCTATTTTTTAATTTGAATTTTGATTATGCAATACATATATGGATTATGGACACTATGTTTTCAATTGTACATAAAATTTAAGCACAAAATTTATGAAAAACTTATTCTATAATCATATATTTTCAAAGACAAAAACACATGAATTTGTCTAAATTGTACTCAGGCAAGTCAAAATGAGAAGAAAAACAACCAACACTGAATATGTAATGGAGAGGAATCCTGAAGTTCTATACTTACAGTTTGGTCATTGATAACACTCCTTGGAAAACACCTGAGGTGCCACCCAGAACTGGAAGCAATGCAAAGAGCAATCCAACAGCACAATCCTTTGAGCAAAAAGAAATTCACGAGGCTTAATAGAACATTCAATTGGTATTTATCGTTTATATAAGAAAAATAATGAAGAAAGAATAAGACATGAAAAAGTAAAAGAAAAGGTTTCATTAAACAAGCAACAACTGGCAAAGTACCTGCAAAATAAGGGTCCCAATTGTGACTTGTCCATGAAGGGCATTAGTGGTGTTCTTTTCCATCAAAAACTTCAAGACCTAAATAAAAAAATGTGAATAAGAAACAAAAATTTTATCACATGCCCACAAGTACAAAAGGATGCACGATGCATCTGCATTTTAAAAATGGTATGGAATCAGGTTAGTTATCTTATGTTGATATACCACTGCTGTTGAAGACATGGAAAGGAAAGCACCAACAAAAACCCCTTCTGAAGCTTTACCACCACATAACTGCAAAATAGCATTCAATCAGAGTTTGATATGGCAAAGTGTACTGATGTAAAAGATATTTAAAATAACACTTTGCCTGCCCATAAACATCCACCAAAACTGCAACATCACCAAGCAATTAAATTATAAAGGAGATATCAGAACAAGATAAAGAGACAAAATGAACACAACTTCCTTTTGATTAAATAGTTATGTTTATCTAGTACTCTTTAGGCTCTGAAGTCTAGAAATAAAAATACATACATTTTAATGGTACATTTTTGCCCCTTCTATGTCACTGGTAAATGCTAATTGAAGTCAAGTTAGACAACTTTTTTCTACTAGCACCAAACATGATGGATCTTGTAAAATAAGAAAGAGAATATGTTGCCAAAGATAAGAAATTCAGAAAGACAGATGAGATAAATTAGAATGTAGAAACTCATATTTGGCCTTTGGCTATTATCCATGAATCATTTCCACTATACAAGTACCCGAGAGCAATTTCAACCTACCAAATTTGTCATCCTTGGGGACTTTCCAAGTGGAATTTGGTTTTTCCAAAATCTACTTAATTAAGGAGAAACTTTTCATTCAATCAACATGCACACTAAATTTAAGATTAAAAAGATGAAATTTACTATTAGCTTTGAAAATCAGTACTTCTCTTTATTCAAAAATGATAAGAGAGATAGATGATGAAATTAATAGATGAGGTGACAACCAAGACAGATTAATCTCACATATGGCATTATTGCACAGAGGACAATAACATGATCCAAACATTACTTGTTTGTGATTTGCATTCCACATTAATATATAAAATAATATAAGAATAATAAACAAGAAAAAACTTCAGAAATAGGGCAAATCACAGTTATAAAAACATACCGACACAGTAAGTCCACACATGCACATAAATAGAAAGATCTGAAGTAGGCCTCCAAGAACAGCAACAGCTCGAACAACTCGAAGCTGCAATCATATAGATAAAAAGCAGAGTAATCAAAGCTAATTGCAACAAAAACAGGAACAGAAGAAAGAAGGGAAGAAAACAGAAAAATAAGCAACCTTTGTTGTAGAGAACTCCAGGCCCAATGCAAACAGAAGAAATATTACACCAAATTGTGCCACTGTTTCCACCTACATATTTGAACAAATTGCTCTCAAACTTCAACAGGTCTTACTATGTCAATGATAAGTCCATATTTTGATATATTTTATGACCTATATTTATATACTTAAACTATTTTATATATATTTACACTAATTATGCTATTAATTGTGCAGTTTAACTGAAAATTATTATCAGTGCATTATAGAAATATTTTGAATAAAAATTAGAAAATTTTAACCCTTGGATGTGCTTTGTGAATGTGAATTTGAATTTTGAATTTAAAAATTAAATTTAGATAAAGATTTAGATATAAAAATTTGGAGCAGTTTTCAGTTAAGATTTTGATTATGGATAAAATCAATTTGAAAAAATATAGCTCAACCGACCAGAAACTTAGGGCACATCCTATATAAAAAAGCCTAATGCTCTACACTTGACACACTTTTTCCACTTCATTTGACACACCATCTTCCCTTTCTTAGTTCTTACTCACTTCACCATTGAGAGTTATCAGAGATCATTGGCAAAGACGACAAACTCCTTCGGAGTAGGAGCGAGTGATTGAGCACTCCCTTAGAGAACGAGAACTCTTTTCATCTTTTTCCCTTTCAGGTTTCTCTTGTTTGAATTCTCCTTTATGTTTTACGGATTCATTCATCATGTTTTTTGTTGTAAATTTCATTATGAGTAACTAAATCCATAATTAAGGCTATGGAGGATTCTATTGCATACTTTGTGGAATTTTTACTTTTAATATCGGTATTGATTTTATTTTATTGTTTAATTTTTATCCTATTGAATCATATTGTGCATGTTAAGAATTGATCACCCTTAACATTCTATAATTAATTGCATTATAGACGATCATACCACGTGTAATTAATGAAACTATAGAATAAAACGAGATAAGCGGTTAGGTTAATCACACTTAATTCATCTTTTTTAACCGTTATTGAATTAAGAAACTCATAAGGTCTATATGTTTTCTCAACTATTTGCCTTGCATGAACATTGTGGGTGATTGCTCAGAAAAAAAAATATTAAAATTGCATGATCATTGAGTGTTAATAGAACAAGTATAAGTAGTTGACAAATATTCGAATATCAATACAGGATTAAAATAATTAGAACATAAAGAAGTGTAAAAGATGAAATCATAAGTCATAGGCTTATCTCATTTGATTTCTCTCATACGTTGCATTATTGTTCTTTTCAATTAATTGTTAACATTAAGTCTTGTTTTTAATCCATCACACTCTTTTTGCGTTTAAACAATCGAATTAAGGTATTTTTGGTATTTAAAAATAATCTTTGTGGGACGATAACTTGAGAACTTTTTTTTTTAAAAACTCTTTTATTACTTTTTAACGGGTATACTTACCCACAAACAAGATAAGCTTTTGGCAGAGTTGGTCTTGGACATAATATCAGAGTCTATGATCAAGTGGTTAGGAATTTAATTTTTTAAGTTAAAATTTAGCACCAGATATAGTGGGCCTATGCATTATCAATGTTTTGAGCCCAAATGGCTGTTGCAAGAGGAAGTGCATTAAGAGATATAAAATCAATCTTGGGTCTATACGTAAGAGCTTAAGTTTCAGGAGTGTTGGACTTGGTCAAAATATTTGTTAGGATTCCTAAATTTTACGAATTATTGTTATTTTTTTGAATTTTGCTTTCTTTCTTTTGAATAAGTAGTTTCCTATTTTAACTGGGATCTTCCTTTTAATTATTGTACAGTTGTATTTTCCTTTGATTATGTTTTATCCAATTTTAATTAGGGATTAGAACTATACATTACATATGTTGTACGGTTATTTCGTATGGAATAAAATTAGTTTCATTGGAGGACATAAAGATCAAAGTGATCGCCCTATAGAATTGTAGGGTTCATATCAATCAAGGAAGAAAGTTCAAACAATGGCTTTTGACAAGGCTTGGGCCAATCAACTTGCAACCATTAAAAGAAATATAGCTTGATGAGAAGATTAAAGTGTCAAAGTTACTGATATCTCAAACTATTTGTGATTCTATAAGCCACAAACAGAAAGAGGGTAACTGAACCTTTACATGAAGAAGGAAATCCTTGGGACAGGGAGGAGATAATAACTATGTCTTTTAACATATGTATTTTTGTTTTTCGACAACAACATCGAGGGTTGAATTTCCTCATTGGAAAAGCAGAGAACTTATGGGGTGGATCTTTAGTGATGAAAGTAAATATAATTTCTAAAATTTACGGATACTAACCATATCTACCATATTTAGATGCAAGGTTAGAAGGAATATTTGTTAGAATAAAGTAATATTAATATGCTGTTAGTCAAGTTGGTCAAGTGGAGTAAAGTGTAAATTTGGTTGGGGATATTAAGTGAAGTATCATTCTAGAATTCCGCAATAACTTGCAAAGATTGAAAATTACCATGTTAATTTTCAGTGTGAAGTATAGGACACAACTTTTGTACTTAAGGAATATTTTTTCCAATACCTTTATCATCTGATAAGATAACATTTACAATCTAAGTTCAGGCTTGCACATACCATACCAAAGCCTTTCAATAAGTGCTGTTACTCATGAGTTGTCTTTTCACAAATATAAAAATTTACAAAAATGAAATCCAACTGAACTGAACTGTACAAGTATACCACCAAAAAAACAAAAGAAAGACTTTTTTTAGGGATAAAAAAGAAGATAATATAAAAGCAATCAATTACTGTTTTCAGATACCTGCACCATTTCGCTGATGAAGTTAAAGCCACCAGGTCCAACTATGGAGCCAGCTAGAAGATATCCGGTAATGACCTGCCATGTTATACTTTGAGGTAAATGCTACGAGAGATTTGACAGAAATTATACTATAATAGATTTGAAGATTGCATTTATCATGAATGAAGTTAGAACAAGAATGTTCAGACCGGTTGTCCAGCAAAAGCAAATGCAACACCACCACAAGTTGCCGAAACAATAGCAACGACCAGGTCTGAAATCAATCTATATGGCAATAATGAAGGAACTTGTAAGTACTAAAATCTTTTAGCACTGAAAAGCATAACAAGCAAAATAAATTTACCGTAAATCTAGCTGGAGCACTGGATACTTGGATTTGAAGTTAGAAATGATGAAGACATTGTCCTGAAAGAAGATGCATAATTCACACACTTGAAATCGACAAAACTCAACTGAATGTTAGCAAAAAGAAGAAACCTAATACTGCACTGTCTCACCCTTCGATCTATCAACATTGGGGTATCCTCAGCTCTATTGAATACATGATGCAGTTGAAATGACCTACCAGTTTAGAAAAGCACACTTAATCAGTACATCGAAACAAAAATTATGTACAAAATGCACCAAATCGGACAACCAATCCAAGTAGAAGGTAAAACTCAAAATAAGTACTTTTCATCTTTTGTGTCATTCTTGTTTGGCTTGACTCTGGCCACGGTTTCCAGAACAGCCTGATCCACGAACAAGGCAAGAGTAACTCAACATAGCATCACACTCAGGGAATTACGTAATATACTGATACCAGGGATGCATATTGATAGGAGAACAAGACCAGATTCACAACTAACTATAAGCTCGGAAGTCCAAACAGAGTGAGATTAAAACCTTTCCATGCAAAGCACCTCAATCGTGCCATTAAAGTTTAACACTTCTAATTTTAAATCAAGGCTCAAGGTACTAGACCAACCTGTTGTTCTGCTACACTGTTGTTGAAACTTCCCGCATCAGCTGCTGCTAGCACAGAAGAAACAAAAGAAGAAGAATATAAACGTTAAAATAGGTTTCGAAATACTTCATTTCTAATCCTATTTGCTAATTTAAGTATAGGCAAAATAAGAAACGAATTCCTAAAACAAAGGCCAAAAGAAAACGAAATAGAATCACAAGATGCAGCACTATGGTTCAAGTAACATGAATTTCGATGAATCTAGCATTTAACAAGGATTTATGTACACAGATCAGGAATCAGGATCAAAACAAAACCCTACGCGTGCGCACGTGCATCGTTCGCAACAAACGGTAAATCACAATTTCAGTTTCTTAGTTACTAAACAAACAGACCGAAGCAAGAACCGGAGAATTGAATGCAAGAGAAGAAGAATCTAGAATTGAGGAACCTTCGTTTTGGTCGTTTTCGGTGAACTCATGCTCCAGCGCTCGATCAATCATGTCGGCAAAGCTACCTTCCCTAGGCCTCGAAAGAGAGACGTTGGACTCGGTAGCGTTGACGAGTTCGACCCGATCCGACTCAGCGGGTCGAATAGCGAGCGAGGAAGAAGGTAACAGAAGAAGCGAGTGGAAGAGAAGAAGCACCACTGGCACAAGCACCAAGCGACTGTCACCAAATGATGGTGACGGCGAGGGTGATCTTCCTCTCGACATTGCTTCGCCGGCGCACGTTAGCGACTAACAGTGACGGCGGTGACCGTTCGCCGGCGTTGCGTGACGGCGATGTTCTCCGAAGAGAAAGAGAGAGAGAGAGAGAGAGGAAGTTGAGAAGTGAGAAGAGGGAGGACCAAGGAAGACAATGAGTGAGGTGAAGTGGTTATTGGTGAAGGGTCAAGTTGCGGTCGTTCATTAATTATTTTTCTCATTATTATTATTATTATTATTACCATTTTTATAACATGTGTCATGAAACATACTATAAAAATAAAAAATGTATGTAGAGTAAGTTTTATTAAAAACTATTTTTTTTAATTTTTGTATTTAAAAAATATTAAATTTTTTAATAAAATCTCTTATTTATCAATATTTTATTATGTATTATTAAACACTTTATAAAAATTGTTATTATTATTGTAATTATCGTGGGACTTCCTGTCCTTTTATCGATGGTACCCTTTGCTTTCCTTGATTTTGCTTCTTTTTTTTTTTAAACCACTTCCCTTCTTGCATCTTTTATTTTATTGAGTGAATCCTTCCTTTCTTACATCTCCTGTATTTAAACGGGTTTAATTTATAGGAACTCTGTCACGTATTCATGTATCAACACATTTTTTAAAATTTTGAATGAAATAAATGCTTTTTAATAAACTATATTATTTTAAGATTTAAAATTAATTTTAGAGACTGATATTAATAAAGCAATATTTTGATAAGAAAATAAAATGTTATGTTTGATTTTATTAAGTAATTTGAATTTACTTTTATTAAAAAATTAAGACGATATTTCACTCCATAGTAAAAAATATATATAATAAAAGTATATCGTTAACATTTTCTTAAATTTTTATGTTATAATATTATTTAATAAACATATAAATATAAATATATTCAAAAATGCTTTAAAAATTCTTTTCATAAATCTAGTATGAAAAAAGAGAGAGAGAGATCAATGTAGTAATTTTTATTAAAGCATTCAAGTGTAGTTTAAAAAAAAATTAAAGACTAGGAAATATTTTCATGGTAAAATATCTCAATTTTGATTCTCCTTAATGGTTCATAACTGTTACTAGCATGAGAATAAAGTAGAAATAACTATTTTATTTCTCATTATACACAAATTGATAAAATTAAGATTATTTATAATAGTAAATAATAAAAGCAACAAAAAAAACCAAGATTTTATTGATAATTTTATTAAAAATACATTTACATAATAAACTATTTTTATTTAATTCTTAAAATTGTTATAAGATTAATTTTATAATATAAAAATGCATTAAATATAGTATATGAAAGGAGAAATATGTTTAAACTTGTGAAGGACCACCGTTTTGTAAAAATAAAAACTTAAATTAAAAAATAAATGAATAATATTTATATTATATTTTGTAATATGATAATACATATTAAATTTTAAATATTACTCTTTAAAAAAATCAATCACGACAAAATCTCTATAATAAATTATTACATAACTTGCATTTTAAATTTGGAATAATTTTTTTATTGTAATAAAAGTTTTTCACTTAATCTTATCTAGCTTCTTAAATTACTCTTATAAAATAAAATCATGAAAATTAAACTTTTATTTTTATCATAATTCTTATTATATTTTAATTATTATTTTTTAAGAAAAATTCAAACATGACATAATATTATAATCAATTATTATATACCTTACCTTTTAAAATTTTAAACAGTCTTTATTATTAAAATAAAAGTTTTTTACTCAATCCTATTCATGTACCTTTAATTATTCTTATAAAACAAGATCATCAAATTTAATCTTTTAGGAATCACAAAACACTAATACAATGTGAAAACAAATTATTATTGTATTAGGATAACCTAGGTTCACGAAATATTTGTCTAATAAAAATAAATTATTAGTAAATAAATTTAAGAGCCCATTTAATAAACGAGATAAAACAACATATATTTTATCTGATATATTTTTTTATTTTTTCTTATATTTAACATTTGTTAAACTAAAATATATAATAAGTCTATCATATTATTCCGTTGTAGCATTTTTTTTAATTGACTTAGAAATAGATAAAATATGATAATATAATATATTGTTTTTTATTTTAATATGCATCAAATATAAAATAAAATAAAATATTTTAATTTAATTATTATACTTTATCACTTCTACTTGTCATGTCCAAAAAATGAATTTTGACGATTTGTTTAGTGGATATGATATAAAATGAAGATAAAATATTATTTTATTTTATTTTTATGTTTATTTAATTAAATAAAACTTGATAAATCTATTGCCAAGCTGAAGTGGTAATGAATGAAAGATGTGCAGTTAAAATACTAGTTAATTGACAATTATAACATGAATCAACAATTTTGTTCACAACACTAGTTACCTGGCAAGAATGTTCCTTGACTTGCTTATGATCCCTGTTCCTCGCAACTTCTACTGATTGAGACCGCGGACCTCATTGTATTGTATAATCCGGATTCGGATCCCCTACAGTGAATTTTTCCTGCAATTACTACAGTTAGTAATCTCAACCGATAACATATAATTTTTTAAAATAAAATAATATAATTAAAAAATAAATGAAAAAAGATGAAATAGCAGGATGTGCACATACAGAACATGAATTATTTAGGAGTCTATAAAAAGAATAATTCATTCACCAATTGTCTTAAGATTTTTGAGTTGCATTGTGGTGTTTTATTTTTGAAAAACTTCTCATTCCTTATCTCCCCTCTCTAATAGAGCTGGCTTCTCATTACATTGTGGTGTTTTACTTGAGAGGCTTCTCTTCCACATGCATGGCTTCTCATTTCTTATCTCCTTTCTCTAATATAGTTGGATCAATCAGTTGATCGGTTTAGTCGAGTAGATGAACTCTGAAAGATAACTAGTGACATCCACATACAAAAGGTGTGGAGTTTAAAATATATCATTGACTGAATGATAGTCCATGTAGAAAAAAACAAGAGTTATTTTAGTGTAGACCATGCATGTGGAAGAGAGCAGGAGAAAGAAACTTCTACAGCAGAAAAAGTCATTTTCACATAGGATATAACATGAACTAATTAGAAGTCTATAAAAAAATGACCTATACACTATTGCCTTAAAATTTTTTGGTTAGGTCGTGGTGTCTTATTTAAGAGGTTCCTCCTTTCTTATCTCTTCTCCCTAACACCAAATTCGAATAATTCTTACATTGATAAATTTCCTTTAATATATTGACTTTTCTAATAATAATAATAATTCATTTGCTAAAAGAATCACGAGTTGGTATCTGTTGCTTCTTACATGGTAGATAATGATAATATAAATATGACTATAATGTAATAAATAATATTCATAACTTAAAGAAAAGCCTTTTCTTTCCCTTTCTAACGGAAAGTTTTAAATTCATGAATAAAATGTGGCACCCTCACATTAAGTAATACTTCGATCTTGTACGGTGTATAAATATTTTCTACTTGAATTTTTATTCATGTTTCATTTCAGACAAAATTTACTCCTTATAAAATTTGTCTTATTTCAACTAATGAAGAATTTCAGACCAAAATAATAATAATAAACAAAGAATAATAAGCTTGACAAACCACCCCCCCTCCCCCAAAAAAAAATTCTTGTTTGGATTGCTTGATAGAAAGTGTAAGCTGTCTCAAGATTCAGTGCAACCCTTTGAATAGCAAATTCAATTCACATAAAGACTTCATGAAAACCCCCCACTATCGAACCCATTTAATTTTATACTACTACAGGGATATCTAGTCGACTTTCCGTAGCAAATGATCTTTCACTCTAATAAGGTAGAAGAGAGCACACTTTTGACTTTAACAGGGACTTTTATCATTAATTTGCCACCAACCGTATTAAACTGCCACTCAAATGTTTTACTGAATTCAATGCACAATATTGTTGAACACATCTCACACAGGTGATGAAGTAGATAGAATACGCACAGATATCTTAGTCCACGTTGTCACCCCTATTGAAGTTACACGTGCAAATACATAATTTACAACTTATTTACCTATATAATATACTTGCATTTACAGACATGTTACAACTCATATATATATATATATATATAGAGAGAGAGAGAGAGAGAGAGAGAGTATACATTAAAGTTTCCACTAACATGTAAACTTTCTAACTAGATACTTCAAGGTCTGCAAAGTGTAAACTCTTATAACGGATAATGGACCATTTCACGGAAGAGCAAGAGCAATTTACGTAGTCTTTTGATCTGCGCTTGTTTCTATTAAGCATTTCTTTGAAAGATTGACTATTGAGTCTGCAATGACTCTAGCACTGGACTTCATGTAACCACCTGAAACATTGAATAACAAATATAGCCAACCTGATAAACAGAAAATGATTCAAGAAAGTTTCCAATAAAGCTTTGTCACATGGATCGGTTGAGAATGTAGCTAATTTCCACAATTAGTTACCTAGAACCCCTCTAAATTGAGGCATAATTGCTCACGCAGAACACGGAAAAATAAGGTTAGATATAACTATTACGAATATTTCATTTTATAATCCAAATGTTAAATAAAACATAACAAAAACGATTGAATATGCCTTATTTTTATAACTGAATAGTCACGTTCTAATGTCATCAAGTAATGTTATTTTGATCATATATATAAGGGAATCGAAGTTTCTAAAAAGCTTTCAATATAACAGCGTTAAAAGAATAATGATAACATGGCTTTTCAATACTGTATCTTCCGAGACGAAGATTGTCCCATAGGATCACATGATTGAGAGAAACAATAGCAAACCTGAAGTGAGCATGATGATAGGAATGTTCTTATCTCGAGCAAACTGAAAAACTTTTTCATCTCTAAGGGCAACTCCGTCAGGACTCACCTGCATGTACAAAATAGCACAAGCACCACCTTGGTGAGTGGTATAGGAATAAACTACATATTATACAAATTTATATTTCAATCCAATATATTGAATCCAAGAATGAGATTACCTTCAACCTTCCTAATGGATCACCTTCTAAGATGTCAGTTCCAGCATTATAAATTACCAACTCAGGGTTAAACCTACGCCCAGCAACCTTGAATCACATTGGCATGAAAAACAAATATAAGTTAAAAGGACCTTAATGTTACTTCGAATATACCTTCTTCAACTGATAAACAATTCTAGAGTCTCTTTAAGGGCATGATTGAGAGTTAGGAGTAGAAGGAAAATGGGAAAGGAAGGGTAGAGATTCAGGGGTTAAGTTGTGGTTTTCCTTTCCCATGTTCTATTTTTAAAATAAAGAAGGGAAAGGTAAGATAAAGTGCATCATGAATAAAATAAACGCTTAATAGAGTTGGATGCTTGGATAAGATATATAAAAGCAAAAATCATATGGATATACAGATGTACCTAATCCTAGTTCTGCAGCAAGTACTCAATACACAAATATTAGAGAATAACAAATGTTCACATTGATACCTGGAGTGCTTCATCTAATTTTTGCAGGTACTCTTCTGTGAGTGTCCCACTCTGAAAGGTAAGGGGGAAAGATATATGAGAAAGTTATAAAGGAAAATCAAAAAACAAATATGTTTCAGGTTTTAACTGATATATTGAATATACCTTCACTTCAACTTTCTGATTAATGTAGTCTCTCGCCTCATAATCCTAATATAGAAGGCAAAAAGGAGTGGCAGAGGATGGTCATAAGTTGGTTTCAAGATGAAAAATTGATGACGACCACATTCATATATGCATATGTTAAACAAAAAGCAAATAACAATTAACTGCTGATAATGGACCATCTTCATATGCAGATTTAGGCCTTTTTTCCTATTATTGGATCAAACAATATTACACCATCATGATGAAGTAGCACCTATTAGAAGGAATTAATGTTTTAATAAACCAATTTCAATATATTTTTCAGCAGAATCATTTGCTGGCTTCCTGCATACTTGATTTACAAGTAAATTACAAATGCAAACAGATAAATTATTAGCATCTTCAGCTTGATATAAATGCCATTTTCTAATATTTAAATAGGTTTCACGACTGGATTTAATGGGAGGTGAGGATTAGACCAATAGATAATTTAGTAGGAAGGGTTAATCATATCAAGGTTAGCCTAATAAACAAGGGTATATAGAAGTTAAATAAACAATGAAGATCAATGACGATGCTAAGAGAAAAAAATAAAATAAATAAAGACCTTGATCAAATGCCCTTTCCACAATTTTGGTTTTTTTTTTTACCACAAAAGCATCATTTGACCATAGCTGACCCACCCAGTAGAAAGAGGCTTTTGTTGTTTATTTTAGAAGGGTAGTACCCAGTGCATGAGGCTCCCACCATGTGGGGTCTAGAACGGGTCAAATATATGGAAAGTGAGTTGCACAAGTGGCGATAATGTTTCTGCAACTAGAACCCATGACCACTAACTCATAAGATAGTCACCTTCCTGATGTACAAAGGCTCACACTCTTTTTAACCAATGGAATGTACGAAAGAAATTGCAATATATGCTTTCATGCCATGCCACAATAGGATAAAAAAGGGCATGCATGATGACTTAAATGTAGGATACAACAACAGGACACTGCAACATGTCAGATGTCAGCCAGCAATGTTGATTGGATGAAGCAAATGCAAAAGAGAGAAACAGAAAAATCATTTCATAAATGGGAAGAAGAAAATCTATAACAAATCCAGGAGCTGATAGCTTACTAAAGGATATATTCCAGGGTTGTACATGTCAAGGATATAGACTCGGCCTGCCATTATGAAGCCCCTAATCCCTATTAGTGAAAATCCTAAAAGATATGAAGTCAATCACCAGAAGGAAAAAAGTTTTGGCCTTACTGTCATGGGCAAAGTCCATTTCATGACCATTTCCTTGATGTGCATCAAGATCAATGATCATCACCCTGAAGATTTTGTGAACAATTTTTGCACAATTGTTAATAGAACGTGCTAACTTGCAAATTTACAAACTAAACATAATAGAACCTTGATATATTCAACCGAACAAAAGCAAAGTGGATGCATAGAGAAATATCTGCATAAGCACAGAATCCGCCTCCTCTCTCTGCAGAGCAGTGATGAAAACCTCCTCCCACATTAATGGCCCATCCTCTCTCCTTTGCAAGTTTTGCAGCCAATATAGTTCCTCCAACCTACCATTAGATTAGGAGTAAGAACAAACTTTCGGAGATCTTAAACAGGCTATATTAAAACAGTTAATTTACCTGCTTCCTGAATGGGAAAAGAACTTTTTGTTGTACAAGACAGTTGGGAATTAATGCCACAGGAGGAACCTATATTTTAGTAATTTATATCAGTGAATAATCTTTAATGTATCAACTGTATAGAGCCTCAGCAAATACATACCCACTACCATACAGAACAATAAAATAATGGAAAAATACACTAAAGAATTCCAGCACAACCATTTCAGCTTCTCTATACTCTACAAAGGCAAGATAAAATTTTATATTAATTTAGACACGTTCTTTAATATAAGTCTTGGGCTCCAAAATAAAAGAAAAGCAAGGAATGATCTGTATAGACAACAAAAGAGTTAATGGCTGCCTCAGGCCAACAAGTAAGTTGTAAGTACCTCAACTATCATAGAAACTTTTGAACTGTCCTTCAGGTTATTCAAGTATGATTCTGAGTGTACCTTCAGAGAAAAGGAAAAGAAAGAAAAAAGGACTTATCACCTGGTACTCTACTTAAATTACATCAATTTAAATCATATTGTCTCCGCATATACTGCAAAAAGGTAAGCAAAACAGTCGATCTGTAAAATTCAGCGATCACAATAGAAGCTACTAAAAAGCAGGACTATTTTCCTTCTTCAGGAGGGTGAGCGGAAAAAAGCATATCCTTGTTCAGAAAAACTTAACAACAGCAAACATGATAGAATCTGTTAAATCACTTCCTTATTTGATCACCCAGGTTAGAGGACATAGGACACAACCAAATCACCAACTCACCATTTCCATTCCTTGTCCCTCAATTAAAAACGAATGATAAGAGTCAGTTTGGATAAATTTCTCAAAAACACAAATAAAATGAATCATAGAAGAAAAATGAATAAAACATCCTACATAAATTAAAATCAATTTCTGCACCTATATATGAAAAAGTTAAACAAGGAAACATGAAAAAGTTGAAGGCGCACAAAATTGATTTTAACTTATGAGAGAAATTTAATTCACTTTACATCCTTCATTATGTTGTTTTCTACATCTATAAGTATTCATTGAGAAATTACCCAAATTGGCTCCAACAAGTAAAGGAGACGTGATTTTAATCAGATTTAGCTTCTCTAAAGTGAGGAGATATGTAAAGTGAGAAACTGAAGGTCTATCCACTCTTCATTTAAATTGGATTATTTTGTAAACATAACTAACTTCAAATCATCGGTGGATTGATACTCACTTTATTATTTTACACTTCTCCTCACTTTAGAGGAGTTAAATCCGATTTGATCAAAACATATACAATTTCCAAAGCCATTTCAAGTGGCATTCACTGATTATCTATTACGCAGTGATTACCACTAGAAGATCATCCTTGGAAGCTTCAAGAGGCTCAACGATGCATTTTTTATCAAGAATACCAAGGGAGACGAGGAATCGGCAAATGCGTCCCCATTTAGATGAATCAAACGGATGCCTACACAATAAAAAAACAGTTATGCAACTCCAAAAGTTAGTTAACAATACAACTGCAAAAAGCGCGTTAGTTGCAATAACAGCACAGTGAAATTAACAAGTGCAAAAAATTGCTCACAGTTTCTCTATGCCGAGAAAGGCTATGTCGTAAGACTCGGAGTAGATAAGCGGAACCTGAACGGTGAAAAACCTAAGTCTGAAACGCATAGAAACAGTCGAAGCGCGTAGAGTGCGCGTGTGGTACTCGCTTACCTTAGACGGAGAGACATCGAAGTAGAGCTTGCTTGAGAGGATGCGGTTGCGCCTAAGAGCCTCGGCGTTGTTCGCTGAAGAAGACGACAACATCGGTAACGACAGTTGACGGCGATGGTTCCGGCGGAAAATCGGAGAGAATTTGAGTTTGACGGTGCCAGCAAAGGTGACGCGCAATAAAACAATGGACGAGCCACCGAGATACTTACTGAGTCGACTCGGTAACCATTTTTGGGATAATCGGCCACTCACCTTGCTTAACTCGGACAGCAGATACATTTACCACTTGGAAATGGAATAATCCACGTGTCGAGTATCGGATTTGGAAGGAAGAATCCGCTTTTTTACAATAATAGTGCAATTTATAATGTTGATTATTGATTTAGTGTAATTTTAAAAATTTATTAAAAAATAGTGTAAGTAGTATATAGATATTTAATATTTATTTAACGATTTTAATGAATTTATTAAAGTAATTAAATAGTATTTTATTTTAATTCAATTGTAATTTTATTTAAATAGGATGTAGTTTGTAATTATATAAAATTAATCTAAATAATTTTTCAAATTTTAATATAATAAAAAAATGTTAATTAAGATTTCATTAAAATTAAAGTAAAAATTTACATAAATAAAACTATTTTTTATACTATAAATAAAAATTTACTATTTAAAGAGTGAAGAATTCAATTAAACTACTTTCTTTCCTAATTCACTACAAGTAAATTAAGATTAAAATTATCATAAAAAATGATTATGAATTACACTTTTATTGTTCCAATGATTTTATTTTTTTATTTATCTTTTTGTTAATTTCATTTTAAATTTTAAAAATCTAAATTGGTTGCTTAATTTATTATTATTTTATATAAATTTTTATATTTTCTATAAATATCTATTTTTACTTTTTTTCAAGAAATTATCTCCTCAGTGCAAGTTAAATTGAATTATGTACGTGATGTATGCTATTATTGAGACTGTTGCTAAATTTTGTCATTACTTGTTAGGGCATCTTTTTATTATCTTACCGACCAACTATAAAAGTTTACGACCATTGGTTGATTAAATTCTCTAAACCATTAAGAAACAATAATGGATGCATAAATTGATGGAGTGTGACTTTATGATTTGAGTACAAATTGGGCAGCCAAAAAACCAGTGCAAATGCTTTGTTGTCGGTGAGTTGTTTAGTTCTATCCATCATTACTTGTGATTTTCTTCTAACACTTCGTAAGGATTTGAATGTTAATCCTAAGTACAGTGCCATTTTAGCAGCCTGTGACAAGGGTAGTCCTTCACCTTATTTTTGTGCTTATGATAGTTTGTTGTAATGAAAGACTCACTTATTAATTCATTCTAATTTTCTACTAACTTTGCAATTGGTGAAGGAGTTTCATGATACTCCTATTAAGGAACATGTTGATTTCTCATAGACCTACCAAAAGTTGCTATTTTAGTTTTTTTGACACGATTTTAAACAAGTGAAGCAATATGTTCAACATTGTCTGATTAGCCAACAAACTAAATCTTCTCAGTCCTTGTCTTTAGAATTACCCACTTTGTTATCGATTCCTCATTGTATTTAGAAAGATTACTCATTGATTTATAATTGGCCTTTCTTTAGTCCAAAGGTATATGGTCATTATGGTCTTTATTGATTAGTTGTCTAAATATGCTCATTTAATTCCACTCAAAATTGCCTTTACTAGTGTTACTATGGCAAATCAATTTTGTTTAAATCTCAAAGTACCTTTGTTATTTTGTCTTTGATTATTCTCGCAATTGGTTTTAGTTACTTTTATGGAAAAAAAATTTGGTATAACTTAATATGTCAAACTATTGTCGATATGACCCTACATCAGGTGGTGTATGACTGGCCTCCTCTTAGCTTAATTTGTGGTCCTTACAAGGGTTTACCTATTGAGATTGCACAATGTTGGAACAAAGAGATGTGGTGTAGCCACCCTCTAATGCAATCTTACAAGGGCCCAAAACCGCATTAAATAGTCAATTGATCATAACTGGGTGGATGTGGAATTTTAGCTTGAAGATATGGTTTGTCAAGTTGCAATCATATAGGCAACCCAATTTGTGCTCCACGGTTACTAGAAATTGGGTCTATGAGTTTTTGTCCTTTTTTGGTAATTGAACGTATTGGGTTCGTGCTTATTAGTTGCTATAACCACCCATTACTTGTGTTCATTCTATTTTTCATGTTTTTTTGCTTAAGAAATATGTGTGATTTCACTTAGCAGTATTTTTCTCTACCTTTGGACATAGTTGCGAATGGTTCATAACTCATTCCCTTAGGGTGTTAGACTTATGAGAAAATTTTTGCAACAAGGACATTGGGTTTATTAAGTTCTTATCCAATAGGATCATTTACTTAGTTCTCAGTATCTTTTATGAAACAACATGTTCCATCATTTAACCTTGGAGACAAGGTCAATTTTAAGGGAAGGGGTATCAATATGAGCTTAGGGAGCACAACAGAATATGAGGCTCATGGGGGATAGGTGGTGCATGATCCTATTGATGCAATAACTAAATTTGCCAAGCTAAGGCACAACACTCGTGAGAAGTACAAAATGTGAAAATTGTGGACCAACATAAAAAGGAAATGAGAGCATATAATGATTAGAAAATTAAGGAAAATAGGTTGGATAGTATTTTTTGAATATTTCCTTTATTTTTCTTCTTTCTTTGCATTTAGCTAATCTCATGCTATAAGTTTGGATGTCTCTCTTTTTTCTTCTCTTTTGATACTCTTTAGAATGCTTTCGACCACTGTTACTAGTTTTATTAATATTTAGATAAAAAATTTTACATTATTTTGTATTTGTTATTGTTATATATCACTAAGAACTATATTACAATAGTGTTTGTGTTTATGATGAAGGAGAGTAAAATAGTGAAGGTGGAGAGGTTAGTAGATCAAAAGATAGAGACAATGTAGTCACTATTGGTAAAGATTGATATCATGAAGAAGATACACTAGTCACCAGAGGAGAAATCATGAACATGGAGAAAGAAAGTTGGCAGAAGAGGATTAAAATGATAGGAACTAAGATGATGAATTTTGGGTTCAAAGAACTTGTTAAAGTATATACACTATGCAGAAGCACGAGATTAAAATCAATTGAAGAATTATGAGAAGTAAAATGAAATGATAACAATACATTTTCACTAAGAAGAGAGAGTATAAAAATCCTCTTATAGTGATGAGGATAAAAACAAAGAAGAAAACTCTCTTAAAGAAAAAAACAAAGATAAACAATGAACTAATGATGTAAAAACTAATAATTCAACTCCTATTTATATAAGATACAAATGAATTAAAACCAATAAATGAATTAGAAGTTAATATGAAACTAAAGTCAAGACCATTGGTTTCAATGGTAGAAAATAAAGTGAAATTTTAGTCATCCACTTAATAATCTCCACCTTGACTCAAATTCAACTAATTGTTCATCATCATGTCTTCAAACACAGTAAAGACCAACTAAATTTGAGCAATGTTGAAACTTGACATTTAGAAGAGGCTTAATAAGCATATTTGCTGAATTTTTGGGCATATGGATCTTTTTCATTATAACTTTACCAACACCTAACACTATCTCAAATAGAGTGATATTTTATATCAATGTGTTTGATCTTTTCGTAATAACAATTGTTCTTGGTAAATGAATAGCAATCTAGTTGTAACACCCCGAATTTTGTAATAATATTTTGATTATTAATATAAATGCATGGATTGCTACTTGAATGTGCGTTTAACTTATGTGGTGATGTTGATATGTATATAAATATATATAGATGTGTATATATGTGTATATTACGGTTGAAATGTGAATGTGAACTTGTGATTAAGCTGGAATTGATTGGAAACATAGGTTAGTGTTTACTGCAAGGACATTCTTACTGTAGCGCAAAGGCCTCAAGAGGTGGGGGTGCCTGAGAGGATCTCGCTGTAGTGAAATTGTACAGAAATCAGAGTGCAATTTAGTCTAATATTTTCGCTGTAACGAGAAAGGGTCTCGCTGTAGTGAGAATATTGCGATTCCTAAGGTATTTGAGGGATTTAGGGTTTAGGAAACTCATTTATGATTCTTTCTCTTCATCCTTCTTTCGATTCTCTCCACCCTTAACCCATTTTCACTGATTCAATTGCCTCAACTTTGTACGCTAGATTGAAGGTTAGAATCATGTTTAGCACGTTTGGAAGTAAGTTTTAAGAGTTAGGGTTTTGGTTTTTCATCCCTTTCTTCGTTATCTCGAATTCTCATGGAGATTTTTCATATGTTTAGGACAAAGCACTGTGTGGAGAAGGTTTTTTATCGTTATTTCGTATTAGGTCTTCATTCTGAGGTAAAGGAAACTCTACCCTATCTCATTGTACTTAGAATTTGTTTATTGTGTTATGTATTGCAATGTGATTAGGATAAAATGTAGGATAATGTGTATTTGATGAGAATGATTTGATTGTGATTGGATTTTGATGAAAATTTAGTGTGAAATATAATGTGATTGATTATATGTGTTGACATGCCATTGGTTGATGATGAATAATATGAAATAGGAGAGAATATATGTGAATAACATGTTAAGTGTGATTGTTGTTGTATTTGAAAATATTGAAAACTATGAATGGTTACAACAATACACTTGGGGTGTGGAAGATGGGCGGTAGAAATACCTTGAGAAAGAGAGGATGGTGGTAACACCAACAGTGAGCGTGGGTGCACCACAGGCAACACACTCTCCTCCTGACTCGGTCTCTGACTAACACTTTTGCTAAGGGGCCTGTGATCGCACACGTTGTATCTGTGAGGTGGAGATTAACCGGTGACTATTCATGGTGTGAAACTGAGTAAGTCCCTAAAGTTGAGGGCATCAAGAAATTGTGATCACAGTGTCACAGTGAGCGTGACTAACATGTAGTGAGTACAAGTGAGTGTGTATATGCATTGTTTGATAGTGCAGTGAGCGCACCTGTATGTGAATTTGAGTGAAATGTTAAAAAGTATTAGTTCATGTTTGTTTGATGCATGATTTGAATTATGTTAGTAAATGTGTCAAAAACATGCAAGGTGAGTCTTTGTGCTTGTGTGTGATAGTATAGAGTACTCATCCTTACCTATTTTTAGGTGACCAAGACGA